AGGAATATGTGAGGGTTTGTTTCCAGGCAGTGGCTGGATCAGTGTGGTAGGAAAAACCTATCTATCTCCCTTGCTTAACAACCAAGTTTCCATGCCTTCAAAGCACAGATACACTCAGTTGAGTTCCTACAGGTTCATTAATGAATGTTTTTCCCTTCTCTGTCTTTCAGGGATCTAAACTACAATGAGCTGTTGGAATTCCCTGGGGCTATTAGGACTCTGGGTCGACTACAGGAACTGTAAGATTTTCTGTTTATTCCCTTTTAAAAGCATTCTCCAAAGGAGAGTGACCAATAAAGTTCTGCATGTGCTCTGACCTAGGGAGAACACTCAGCCCAAGCCCTCGTCTGTCTTTCTGAGCACTCTCCACCATGTATATAAAAGCAGGTTAAACTCTTGATTCCCCTCTGCTCTAATCACTTCACAATCATCGCCCTTGGCCGAGGCAGGCTGAGGGAAGTAGGAGAGCCCCCCGTAAGGCTTGGAGCAGATTTCTCCTCAGGTCTTCATTCTCCAGTGGCATCTGATGCCAGCTCAGAGTCCATCTGGTCTCCGGCTACTTATAATGTCCTTTCCCCAAATCAGGTCCATAACCATGGATGAACCTGTGTGATTGTAAGGCCGTGGCTTTGGCAGGCCCCATACCACCTCCTCTGATGTGCAAAAACTATTTGATATCCCATAGACAAATTTATAATAGGGAATCCCACAATTTTATAACCACTTTATGGGCTAGCTCTCCTCTAACTGATTAGTCTAGGAGACACTAAAAATGGGAGACCATCTGAGTTAGCACTGACAAAGGTACACTCCCCAAGATAGGGTCAAGTCCAGTTGAGGTGGATCCATGGACCCCATGGACAGCTATAACCCTAAGACTGTGTCACACTGATGACAGGCTGGGATGGAACAAAAGCAGTTGCTTTGGTGATTCGGAGAGGCTGCAGAGAAAATCTGACACTATCTTGTTCTTTTACTGAAAGAATTTCTTGTGTAGGAGATCAGATCAGATCAGATCAGATCTGATATCATCTTTACTCTGACTTTCAAGCTGAGAACAAGATTCTCAGTCCACTTTGAGGTGGCTTTTGAAATACATATTGCTAAAGAAGAGGCAAATTTCAAGCAGCCATATGACTAACCACTAAAGCACTCTTCTGGGATGAAATAACCTGGTCATCACCCAAAGCCCGCACTTGGTGATCAACACAGGATTCTGTGGCTGCAGTTCTCTGGCCTTTGATATACAGGAGATCAGGCTGTGGCCACAGAGTTCTCTTCTGCTGTGAAGGTTTGCTGGTAGCCATTTTCTCAAGCATAACCAAAATCATCATGGCTAGGATCTATAAATTCTTTAAAGTCAATAGGGCCAATAATTCACTGCAGACTGGACTCTGATTAACAGCTGTGGAGCTATAAATGAAGGGACCATCCACAAAAATTGTAATCTCTGGGTGGTGTAAAATAAGTTTGTTTTGTTTGCTCCAGTTCAGTGGCCTGTAAGTGTTAAATCTTGAGTCCATCAGGGTTGAGTGGAGTGGCTTGTAGAGCACCACACTATTCAAAGAGTAAATACAGCAGAATGAAGACTTTGTCCTGCCAAACAAGGAGAGACCTTGCTCCTTTGCTGGGCTGATGCTACAGCTACAATAGAGCATACTCCTTCCCTTTTATCACCTCTGTGTTTTGAAGGCTCTCCACCTTTAAAAGTGTTGAGGAAAGAAGGTGTCGCCAAGCCTTTCTAACCCATTAATATAAAGATGTTTGTTTCTCCCAACAGCGGTTTTCATAACAACAACATCAAAGCTATTCCAGAGAATGCATTTGTTGGGAATCCCCTCCTCCAAACAATGTAAGAAAATTTAACAGTGTTTCCTAAATCATTACATCCTCCAGAAAGGGGCATTTCCTGATGTCTTTGGTTGGGATTTCTGACAGCTGTCACCATGATCGCAATTTGATATTCATGGTATGTAGGCTAACGTAAGCTGAAATCAGCTCCCTCTTAACTATGGCCAGCTTTTCTACCCTGGGTTCTCCTTTCCCTCAGCTGATTTCTACTGTTGTATCAGGCTGATAACAAAGAAGGAACAACAAATTGGTAGTCTGCACGGAAATCTAGCTGTGCATAACAAAGGGTTTTCTAAGCCTTGGTTGAACTCCGCATGTACCTTTTCCTAGTGTTTAGAAATGCTGCTAGTTGGTTATAGCAGTGACTACATGTGCTGAGAACTAGGAGACAGAAGAGACAGTATCGCTGCAGACCAGTGTGTATCTACCCCAGACCCATGGACATGAAGTTCTGCAGAGAGATACACAGACCTGCCAGTGCATTTCCACTCTGACATAGCGACAGCCAGACATTCTAGACAGTTCTTCCTTGAACCACAGTGATATTGGAAATCACGACAAGTGACAAAAGCTCTGCTTGGCTAGTCTGGGACTTAAGTTATGGAAATATCAGCATCTGGGAAGCAATGGTGACACTGGGTGAAAATGGTCACTGCTCCAGTCAGAGCAAACCAACCTCATCCCCATCTTCCTCAGGCACCATCCTTGGTGTCAGGCGGGGGTAGGACACATCCAGAATGCCGATGTCTCCATTGGATCTGCCCATCTACAGTCCTTCACAGTTGGTGAAAGTGATACTTCTAGGAGGTGATTCAACTCCTAAAGTTCGTTGGATCTTGAAAGAGCTTATTTCTCTCCACTGACTGTGAAAAGTAGGGAAGATACTAGTGCTGTAGATGTGTAAAATTAGACAAGGTGTCAAGTGCACAGTATGTCCCAGCAGGGTCAGAGCCTGTAGCAAGATTAAAAAAGGACTTGCATCTTTCTAGCCTGCTTCTAAGTTCAGCAG